TAAACTGCGCAACGGGCTTTGAAAAAAAGCATTTACGAACTATTCGCCGTGATATTTAGGATGTTCAGAACGTGTAAAGTCAGCGAGGAATAACGCTTGGACCACTGCAAAGCGTTTAAAACACACTAGCTCTGTTTTTCACATTTTAAAAACAGTAAAAATCAGGTGTGGCGTCTTTAATACAACAGGGCTAGAGGCGGCTGTACTGAAAATCCCTTCGCGCATTAGTGTTACGGTGCGCACCTCTGGATGTACGAGTTGTTGACCCCTCGGTGATCCAGGTCGTGGCTCAGAGTGGCGATCATCAGCGCGAGGATCTCCAGGTCGCTCAGGTTGCTCTGGCGAAGAGGAGAAGAAGAAACACGAGCTGCATTCAAGGGTTTGACAATAACAAGAGCTCTCCGCACAACTGTTAATGCCTCCTAATCAATTAATTATGTCCACTTACAAGCACGGTTAGGTGATTTTGGCTAATGGCGGTAATGTTATGTACGCCTGGTCAAGCATTTAGGATTCTGTTTAGAAGATCGACGCAGAAACGAGTCAATGAGGCGTGTGCGTGAATTTATTTATGTAGTTACAAGGAGGAGAACAAATGGACGCTATTGTTTTTTGGAAACTAACTTCACACGGGGAGGCTCGCGCAGCAGATAAGCAGCAATTTGTTCGATATAAAAACATTTCTTCTATGGCAGACATGTCAGACTCAGGCCCGGGGACCAAATTTGGCCCAAAATATAATTATATTTGTCCCGCGAGATCATATCAAATGTGTATTAGAGCTGGCCCACCGCTAGTATGGCTCATGCAGTGTTGGGAAGGTGACTTTTAAAATGTAATCCCCTACAGATTACAGATTACAAACCCCAAAATATAGTTTATAACAGAATCCATTAAGATACTTAAAGCGAGTAACGTAAATTGAATATTTTGGATTACTTGATTTGCTGTAGAGAAGCAAAGACGAGGAAATCGTCACATAAGATGTTTTGTCTGATAAAAGAAAATAAAAAGCCCAGACTTTACTGAACCAGACTAAAAATATTATTGATAGAAGACGAGGAAACACGTCCACGCAGCAGGATTTAGTCCTGGTAAATCCTTAAATCCTGCTTTAGTCCTGCTTTAGTCCTGGTTTAGCTCTAGTTTAGATCTAGTTTAGACCTGATTATAGTCCTGGTTTAGATCTAGTTTAGACCTTAGTCTGGTTTAGTCCTGGTTTAGATCTAGTTTAGACCTGGTTATAGTCTTGGTTTAGATCTTGTTTAGACCTGGTTATAGTCCTGGTTTAGATCTAGTTTAGACCTGGTTATAATCCTGGTTTAGATCTAGTTTAGACCTGGTTATAGTCTTGGTTTAGATCTAGTTTAGACCTGGTTATAGTCCTGGTTTAGTCCTGGTTTAGATCTAGTTTAGACCTGGTTATAGTCCTGGTTTAGTCCTGGTTTAGATCTAGTTTAGACCTGGTTATAGTCCTGGTTTAGTCCTGGTTTAGATCTAGTTTAGACCTGGTTATAGTCCTGGTTTAGTCCTGGTTTAGATCTAGTTTAGACCTGGTTATAGTCCTGGTTTAGTCCTGGTTTAGATCTAGTTTAGACCTAGTTTAGACCTGGTTATAGTCTTGGTTTAGATCTTGTTTAGACCTGGTTATAGTCCTGGTTTAGATCTAGTTTAGACCTGGTTATAGTCTTGGTTTAGATCTTGTTTAGACCTGGTTATAGTCCTGGTTTAGTCCTGGTTTAGATCTAGTTTAGATCTAGTTTAGACCTGATTATAGTCCTGGTTTAGATCTAGTTTAGACCTGGTTATAGTCCTGGTTTAGATCTAGTTTAGACCTGGTTATAGTCCTGGTTTAGATCTAGTTTAGACCTGGTTATAGTCCTGGTTTAGTCCTGGTTTAGATCTAGTTTAGATCTAGTTTAGACCTGGTTTTAGTCCTGGTTTAGTCCTGGTTTAGATCTAGTTTAGATCTAGTTTAGACCTGGTTTTAGTCCTGGTTTAGTCCTGGTTTAGATCTAGTTTAGTTTAGACCTGTTTAGTCCTGGTTTAGTCCTGGTTTAGATCTAGTTTAGATCTAGTTTAGATTTCCATATATGTTAGTTTCCGTATATGTTAGTTTAGACCTGGTTTTAGTCTTGGTTTAGTCCTGGTTTAGTCCTGGTTTAGACCTGGTTTAGATCTAGTTTAGACCTGGTTTATTTTCCGGTAATGAGTGGAATTACTGAAAAAAGAAAAAAAAAAAAAAAAAAAAAGCCTCCAGAGCCCAGCCTCCAATAATCGCAACACAAACAAATTAAAATTACTTGTAAGACACAGAAATTTTTTTTTTTTTTTTTCATGCACATAACTTGATACTTTTGCTGTCAAAAATGGCATTTAAAGGGTAAAAATATCAGAATTTCACATATTATTTGGTATGTATGATTAGTGCAGAAGTAAATGAAGACACTGATATAAAAAAATTGGACAAATATCCATACTGCATAAAAATATTGTGGTATTCTTTTCCGTGTACTGTTTATATTTTAGATATTTAGTATGAACCTTTATGAAACCTACCGGGACAGTGGAAGGATTAGGCTTGAATCGACTGTTGTAAATCTCATTCTGTTATAGTATTTGTGGGGTGAGGGCAGTGTTACCTGGAGGCGTCCCGACTTGAGGAGGGCGAACATGCACTGTGCCGTGTTGAAGGCGTGTCTCCAGTTGTGGTAGGCCACGTTCTTCCTGTAGTTCTTCTTCACGCTCAGGATCCACTGGCACAAGTTCTAAAGGCGAAGGACCAGACATCAACACCACAATGAGAAACATATCTTGTATAAAACTGGGACAAATCACTGGTTTTGGATAAATCTGCTGGGACAGGGGTCACAGAGCTCAAAACTGGGACTGTCCCGGGTAAACAAGACCTCCACAAAGGTTTCATGTTCAGATCTTGTGGTTTTTCTACTGAATTTGGATGCATTTTTGATTGTTCTCCAGAAGGTCTTACAAAACTTTCTGGAAAACATTCTGGAGTAAAAACTTAACAAAAAAACCCAAAACATTATATTGGTGGTTTTCAGGTTGTACGATGTGATGTCAAACTGTCAGACAGGGGCAAGAGACACTTTTCACTCTTGGTGACACTGCGTTTTCCTGAAATATCCAAAAAGTAAATGTTGAATCTGATCTTTTATATTATTTGAGCTCAACAGTCCCACACATTTCAAAATCTTCTCTGCTTCCATGAGTAATTTTTCCATAAATTGTTCTTATAGACTTTTCAGAAAAGAGTTCAAAGGCATCGTCGAGACTAACCATCTAAAAAGCACATTTAAAACACATTTGTTAGAAGTTAGAGAGAGATTTTACATAAAATGAAAAAGTTTTGTGACCATTAGTTACCACGTAGTTAATTAGCCCTGAGCAATCTTTCAAACTTTAAATATTAATTATTTTCAGAGAGTCTATGAGAAAAATTAATGAGTAATTTACTCCAGAAGCGGGGCAGGCGGTCACTGTCGAGCTCCACTGATTATATAATTGGCTCCCCGTTTTTATTCCATACTATGTATTGGTCTATAGAAAATGAAACGTTTAATAGACCAAATTCCTTCACATAAAAGTCAAAAAACAAGATTACTGATAACATGATTGATAGGAAATGCAATAAAACATCAACTATAACTAATATTAAACATGAGGAAGAAGAGGTGAGGTGAGGTTTCAGTCAAAAATAAACTGAGCAATTCATTTGAAATCATAAAACTTTATATTTAAACATTTAAATGGCATAACACTGAAGACATTGAATACTCAACAACTGAAAGTAAGTTCTGAAAGTGTCATTTTGTAGTTTATATAAGCAGCAGAGAAGTCCTAATGAGCAAAGAAGCAATTAAAACAATATGGCTCCATCTCCCCCCGATCCATATTCATAGAGATGAGACAGAGGCTCCACGGGAGAAGCAGAGCCGTGGCAGCTAATCAGATGGAGCTAGTTATCTCCACAGGATCATCAGGACTTTTGGCATCTTTTAACAATGATCGGCAGCTTACACTTTCTCCTGGGAGTTTGAGCACTTTACATAAGAGACGATTCTGAAAGTGTCTTCGTCTCAGAGCAAGTTATGTTTTTGAGAAACTGACTTTGATTAAACTGACAGAGAATGAGACATGAAGAGATGTACCTGTAGCTATGATCATAAATTTAATACTGTTATTTTCAAAGTGTGTTTATGTTTTGGATAATCAGGAAGTGCGTGTCTGGACTGCAGCAAACAGGTTAAAATGAACTAGCTCTGTTTTTCATGTTTTTAAGACACTAAAATTCAGGTAGAGCGCCTTTAAGAGCTGCCCCCACAAGAGATCCACTCCACTTTCAGATCAATAAAGTTACCTTATTTTGTGGACTATAAGGCGCACTTAAAATCCTTTAATTTTCTCAAAAATCTGCAGTGCACCTTATAATCCGGGGCGCCTTATGTATTAATTCTGGTTGTGCTTACTGACCTCGAACAGATTTTATGTGGTACACGACGCTCAAAAATCTGTCAAAATGTTTTAGTAAGACTTTTGTAAGCTTCAAAGCCGCACCGCTCAATGGATTGTCGGAGTATTACGGCTAATGTAATCAGAAGCCTCGCGGAGTCATGTCCTTCAGTTCGACAGAAGCTGACGTACAAAGAGTGAGCTGTTTTTTCAGCACTTATAGTTTATGCAAATGAGCCATGTGGTTTTAAGTTTTGTTTCTGTAAAAACAAAAGAAATGTGTGCAAAGCTGCATTAAACACATTATTACTCAATGTATAGTTGAGTCCCGTAGGAAGTCTCATAGGAAATAAAATATAAACTTAAATTATCCACCCACATGCACATTCATAATTTACGTTCATCAAGATAGGGAGACAAGACCAATCCTTGTATCATTCCTTCATTAGTTTTTCAAAATAAGACAAAAAAAAAATTAAAAATAAAAAACAACAATTTTTTTCATTATTTGTCTCCAAAACAAAAATTTAAAAAATGGATAAGGATTAATTTTTTCAGTTTTCGATTTTGTGTTTAAATGGATAATGTTTCCCGTTTACGTGACTTAAACTGTGATGCCGGACTGAACCAGGACTAAACCAGGACTACACCAGGACTAAACCATTTTCAGTCCTGGTCTGGTCCCAGTCTAAGTCCTGGTCTCAGCCCTGGTCTGGTTCCAATTTGGTCCTGGACCTGGTTTAGTCCTGGTTCAGTCCGGCATCCCAGTTTAAGTCATGTAAACGGTCGTTATCCATTTTTCCATTATTTATTTAAACATAAAATCGAAAACTGAAAAATCAAATCGTTATCTGTTTTAGAGACAAATAATGAAGAAAATAGTTGTTTTTTCATTTTCTTATTTTTGGTTTTATATTGAAAAACAAATGAACGAAAGATACACAGATTTAGTGCTGGGAGAATTACGCTATGATCTGCCGATGGATCGTGGACGCCTGGGCTAAGGAATCAGTCTCAAGTGTCGTCTGTTTGTTTCGCTTAATGCACCTTATAATCCGGTGCACCTTATAGTTTGAAAAATACGGTATGTCTTACTTCTCTATAAATATAAGTGTATGTACTAGTATATGATTAATATTGGAAAAAGTACTTACGTAAAAACCTAAAGCTTGTGACTATGAATACATGAATGTTTGAGTATTTCGAGCCAAAGTGAGACAGTCCAGGTAGTCACAAGACACAACAGACAACCATTCAATGTCACATCCATTCGCTACGGGCGATTTAGATTCTACCGTTGACTTATTGCGCAAGAACGGAGCGAAATGAAGTATAACGTGTAATTTGTTGGACGAGTCTGGCTTACGTTGGTCACAATTTGAGGTCTGGTGTTTTGGGGATTTCAATCTGACAGGTCCAGTCAAAGCGTCTCTTTCTGCAACATCCACAAACAAGGAGGAGATTGAGAAGAACCAGGAGCCAGGCCAGGAGAGAGGGAGAGCGGCGGTGCAGGGGGTGGACAGGGCTGACGGGCTGTGGGATGGAGGGTAAGTGGATTTTGGACGGGGGGTATGTGTGTGAGTGTGTGTGGTCTGAAAGAAGGGGGCAAGGAAACGTGCAAATATTATCTCAGTTGGAAATGGGTTCAGTCAGAATCCTGAGAGAGGCCATTTGTGATGCAGATAAGTGCTGTCACGATACTAAAATGTCAAACGTGATTTTGATCCTAAGGAAGAGACTCAAAACTCGATACCAATTTTAATACCACAATGATAATAAAAAAACAATCTTTAGAATGTCATTTTCAACATTACCGTATATTCCGGACTATAAGCTACTACTTTTTTCTCACACTTTGAACCCTGCAGCTAATAAAACGATGCGGCGAATATATGGACGGATTATTTGTTTGGCACATTGTCCATTCATATCTATGGTTTAGTAACACAGCAGATACACACAGCCTGAGAGCAGAAAACGTCGCTGTCTGTGCGGTTACACATGGATCCAGGGTTCACATGAAGTTGCTACACTCGCTCGCGATATTGTCAGTGCACTAAAACAGTTTATGGCCGTGTGATAAAATAAGTCATGATGCTAAATGAACATTAGTGAGGGGGATACGTCTTACCCGTGTGTGTAAATGACGAGAAGAAACGTCTCAAACTTCAGTAGCCGAACATCTACTCATACCTGACTGATAAAACTATCTCCGCCTCCGAGAGAGTCTGAAATCTGCTGAAATCCTCCAAGACGCTGACATGATACAGACAGGATAGAGGCTCTTTCTGCAGGAGACATGCGCAGTAGAGCTCGGGGACAGACGGGGATGATGCGTAGAGGAAGATGCTCGTTTCATTGTGTTTTGAACAGTTATTTTGCGCTTCATACACACACCCTCCTCATGGAAAACACACAAAGAAATACAGATGGTGCAGCTTTTAAGTTAAAGTCGATTGATGTGTCTGTAAGGAAACAGAGCTGCTGCACATGAGCTTGGCATCAGTGAGTCGACGGTGAGATTTTGGTGACGGCAGCGTGACGAACTGACTCAATGCAAAAAGACGACAAAAGCTAGATAAAGATAAAAGCAAACGGCCCAAACTTGAAAACATTCTTGAAGACGTGGACACCTGCGGCTTATATTCAGGCGCGGCCTATATATGTACAATTTAAACATTTTTGTTAAAATAGAGTTTAGTTAAAAGTAGTAGTAAATAGGGATGTAACAATAACTGAAATATCGTGATATTGTATCGTCAAAGGTCTCACAATAATATCATGGACCATCACAATATAATAAATTACATGCCTCTTCACTTAAATGAATAGTTATGGTGCAGAGATACAGTAGCTAAACAACAGACAGGACTACATAGGCCATGATCCTTTGCTCAGTTTCAGTGCAGTAAATAATAATTACGAATTGACGTTTACATGGAAGACACGTTAAATCGCCTTTATTTAATTCCGCTCAACGCCTGGGGAACGGAAAGGGTTCTGATTGGACAGAGACACGGACGTATTTATGTTAACCGGAAGAAAACACACACTTCAGCTGCTACCGGCTTTTTTGTCATCTCGGTTTGTTGTTACGCCACAGACACGAACATGATCTAAACTTTTTTCATGGCCGTTCCGATGATAATTGTGCAGCAGCTGGAGAATTGTCTCATCACGCTTTAGGTCTGTCAGCTGAGGAGGAGAAGGGAAGAAGAAGACAAACTGAGTCAACGGCTGCTCCGCCTCAGCCCACTCCTGCATTTTTATGTCGTCTGCCGTCCACTCATTTCATTATTTGTAGTTCTTCCAGTGCACTTATTAAAAAAATTGTTTCGGCTCCAGACCAACAAGAATTATTTTTAAGAAGAATAAACATTTACATGATCAACGAATAAATTAATTCAGCTTTAAAATCGGAATAAACCACCCACTTACTTCAGAATATAGTTTAATTCTGAATAATTTCTATTTTCATTAGGAATTAAGTGTTTACGTGCTCGTTTTAAATCAGAATTAATTTTTATTTAGAATTAAATTATAATTTTTCAGAATTAAAGCTCTCATGTAAACGTGGCAATCATACTGTCTCCGTTTTTACTGTATATAGATGATTCTTTATATGTTGCAGTCTTTTTTTTTTTTTGCCCCAAAAAAAAAAAAAGAAAAAAAAGTGCATTATTTTTTTTTACAAGTTTTATAAGAATATCTGTATTGTCAAATGTACGGATGGCGAGTCACACAGGGCACAGTCCAGGGACACATCTGTGGCATAAACAAGCGGGCTGAATTCAAAACTCTGCGGCACTTGAGCAGAGCAGACGGAGCGGATTGTTCCTTTAGAATATGTGACCTTCGACCTCTTTAGTTATGCTGCACAATGTCGACCTGAGTCACTGTTTACGTCCAGCAGACTTTTTCCCGGAACATCCCTTCATTTTTCAATTTCTGAATTCAAAATGATTTTAATTTAAGTGCATGTTTTTCTTATTATTACTTGCTTTTATGGGATTGCACCTGTTATAAATATTTATCATCGTTTCACATGAGTTAAGTGGCAGTTTGTGGAAAAAGCTCAAGTCGGAAAGTACAAAAATACAGGATGTGGAACTGATTTATAAAAAGAAATACCTCTACCTACGTCCAAAAATTCCATCCAAAATTCTCTGACAATTTATGTGGAGGTGAGGTATTTTTATTTTTTGTTTTAAAATATAATTATGCTAAGTATGTTTTAGGGAAATGAGCAGCCTAATGTTATCTGCCGTGCATTATTTCTGTATTCTGTATTCAGTTTATGTTCTATATCACCGCGCTGTGAGCTGCTGTTAGGAGGGACAAGCTTCAGATGAAACAGAAATGACTAATGCTCTGAAAAGCCACAGACAGTTAAAAGGTTGTCAGATTATTATTATTTTTCAGTTGGTGGGACCATGGTATAAGCGGATTAAACAACTTGGAGCGGTATATTACAGTTTTAATGCACGCGGCTGAGTCGACTCTAGACTCTGCGTCAGTGTGTTGAAACAGGATAACACGCCGCTCAGAGTTTAAAGTTTAAAGTGCGGATGACAGGTTTTTATGAGTTTCTATCCGCCCATTTTCTTCCGCTTATCCAGGGGCCGGGTCGCGGGGGCAGCAGTCTAAACAGGGACTCCCAGACTTCCTTCACACTGGTCACTTCCTACGATTCTTCCGGTGGGATCCCAAGGCGTTCCCAGGCCAGCTGAGACACACAGCCCCTCCAGCGTGTCCTTAGGTCTTCCCCAGGGCCTAATTCCAGGGGGACATGCCTGGAACACCTCTCCAGGGAAGCGTCCAGGAGGCATCTGCCACCGAGCCACCTCAGCTGCTCCTCTCGACGTGGAGGAGCAGCGGTTCTACTCCGAGCAACTCCCGTGTGACTGAGCTCCTCACCCTGTCTCTAAGGGAGCGTCCAGCCACCCTGCAGAGGAAACTCATTTCGCCCGCTTGTATCCGCGATATCGTCCTTTCGGTCATTACCCAAACCTGATCATAGGTAAGGGCACGAATGAAAATTGAGCGGTAAATCGAAACCTTTGCCTTTCAGCTAGTTTTGACTTAATTTGGTGGCATAATACTTGTTGTAAGTAAAAAAAAAATAATCGTCATATATCAATCAAGAAGCAAAATGTGAAAAAAAATCGAAAAATATGTTGAAAAATTACATTTCCAACCAGAAAGTACAATTAAAAACCTACAAAATTGGCAGCACTGGGGGGAAAAAATAAAAAAAATTCTGTCTTAAAGCTTAAAAATAATTATCTTAAATATGTTTTGGTGAAATTTGTAGTCTAACCTGTCATAGGCACTTAAATCTTTACGCACTTAATGTAATAACTTGTTTTGCATATTTCAAACTGCCATCTACGACTTACCGTGTACTTCATCTGGAAGTTCTGGACCAGGTTGAGGTCGACAAACATGCGGATGGCCCCGAGCGTGGTCTCTGTGTCGGACAGGTCAAAGTCACTGAAGCTGAAGTCCAGGAGCTTTAAGGACTGGGCCGACGGGATTGTGGCTACCTTCACACAACAAACACACGGTTCACTGTTAGTTACACTCAGTCATTTTCATTGCTTTGGAAAAAAATCTACATGTGTTATAAAAAGAATATTTTTTACAAGCTTTGTGGACTTTTAAATGCATACAAAAATAGTTTAATATTTGACAAGGGCAATAAATATACGTGTACTTCAATTTGGCAATGCTTTAAACTTACTCTGCCTTTTTACTGTAATAACAACATAAATATATACATTTTTAATACAAGCACTTTCCATAATACTGTTAATTTCATTGGTATTGTGAGACAGTGTTGCTACATCGATGTATGTCTAAAAATAATTCACACATGGTAACTTACGGCAGTGCCCTAGATACTCAGTGACACACATTTGTGCTCCCAAAAAGAGTCACTACAAGCTGGTAATTTTCCAATATACATACAGTACGTGTCCAGTGTGTCTCGTGCTAGAATATGACTTTATTAAAACCATTTATACTTTGATTTTCTAAAGGCAGTGCTGGAAGGTAACAAAGTGCAAAAGTAAAACTACAAATTTTAGGTACCTGCATTTATATAAGTCACTTTTACACTTTTACTTTTACTTCAACATTTGAGAACGTGTATCTGTACCAAAAAGTAAAAGAACTTTTCTAGTTTGAGACCTGCTGAAATGATGGAGAAATTTTTGTTAGCACATTTAATTTGAGATAACGTCCCAACACAAAAGCGGAAATCAATTGAATCACCTAAATCACTATATTTCCTTGAATTTTTCTAAAAATCTCTGCAAAATGCTTTTAATTTTTACTCTTAAAGCACATTTTTAAACAGGTACTTTAATAGTTTTGCTTAAGTAGATTTTTCATGTGATCATTATACTTTTGCTTGAGTAACTTTTTATCTTTGTATCTGTACAAATATGTGCAAAATTAGTAACAAAACTGAATACTTCATCCACCACTGCCTAAAGGACCTTGAAACTACACTGCACCTGGGGACTCATGTTAACTCCAAAATAATGCAGCCTTCACGCTTGCTTTATAATGCTCATTTATGTCCTTCTCACACGTGCCCTGTTCCTCGGGGCTGTGGGCTGTCGGGCTGTGGGGCTGTATCCAGTTTCTGTCTGTGATTCACTCACTCAGAGCTCCACTCCAGCTGCAGTGCTATTGAGTTGCACTATGGGCTGCGCTCATCGCTGATTCAACAAAGTCATATTCTCTTACACTTCTTAACTGTGACCCTGAAGCAGAAGTTATCCTGTTGTGTGCCATTGTATTTGTCCACTCGATTAATATCTGCAATCACATTTTAAACTCTATACTACAGGCTGGGTTCAACATGACATACATTATTTAAAACTGACTATAGCTCTATTCCTATTGAAATATCAATATATCGTGTTGTTTAATGTGATGATATCATGGGCTGCTGTATCGAGAGTATATAAGAGAGTATTTTTTGGTATATTTTACTGAATTATTTTGTCACAGTGCTACAGATTTGTTGTTTGTTTAGAAGAAGGAGACTCATTAATGCGAAATATTTGACATTTTCACTGTTTTGATAATTAAAAAATGTTTGTGTTTCATATTAACTTGGCACAAGAAGTGACTTAACAAAGATTTTTAGTATCACAGTCATGATTTAGCCTTCATTTTTTATTGAACCGTATCAAGTCGTTTTGAAATATATCGTATGGAATCGAACGTTCACTGTAACGAGATATGAATCGTATTGGCAACTTTTTAATGATACCCAGCCGTATTCTTAAATGTGCACTGTTTAAACATTTGCTTTTTAAGTACCTGCAGGTTATAAGTTTTATAACCACTAGTCTAAAGTCAACTATGGAGCCCCCAATCTCTACCATAGAGAATATAAGCTTTAACCATCACTAAAATAGAGAGGTCACTTTTCCAATTTTTACAGCATTTAACTTTTCCCCTCTCAAGAAAATAGTCTTTCATATCTACAGGCTTGAAGAACAGATTTCGGTAACTGATATTTCAGTTGATAAATGGAGCAAATCTTGTTTACAGGCACAAAAACAATCAATCAGCACCAGATTCAGGTCGCTGCAGAACAAATGGTTGTTTAGGACTTATAGTACACCTGTAAAACTTCACTATTTTAATCCAAATATTCCTGATAATTGCATTCCTATATGAACTGCCTACCTCTTTGCACTTTGATAAAAAAAAAAAAAAAAAAAGACCTTTTGGAATTTGGCATATTTGTTTTTGCAGTAGTTTTTGGGGGATTATTTTTCCTGTACAGATATCAAGATATATATCATATATCTCGATATCGTAAAATATATCAAGATATATTTTTTGCTCCATATCGCCCAGCCCTAATTCACATCTCCATGGAGTCAAGCAGAAGATACATTTTATCAGAGCACGAAGGCAGCCGAAAATTATGTAGTAAAATGTTCTGCTTAAATCTAGCTTTTTAATGTCTATTCAATCACAAAGATTTTATTAATGGCAGTTAAAAGAGCTTGTAAAACGTAAATAATATCAGTTTGGTGGCAGTTTCTCTCCACATGTCAAACCCGAGTCCCTGATGATGAACTATAGTGTTAGTGCGTGAGGAAAAATGAGGATTTACCGCGGTTACCTGCAGTTCCCGTGTCTCCTCCTCGGATGCGGAGGCGTGATATGAGAGGACCTGTAGGACACACAGAGGTGAGGAGGACGCACTCACGCACACACACACACACATATATACATACACACACGCACATATACATACACACATGCACATACACACGCACACAGGGGGCAGATCACATGGCATGTTTAGAGCAGAAAACACAGAGCGGGGTATTGTTGTGCTGCTGACACCAGTCTGTAGAACTGCTGACTCTGGACATACTACAAACATGATACCGGATACATCTCTCTATATGCACTTTACATGATACAGGTCAGGTTCAGATCAGCGAAAATTACTGCTCGGGACACAGTTTATCTAAAAAGAAACTAAAACGTGGCCATTTCTATGATAAATAATACACTTATCAGATTGGAGAGGTGTGGGGGTAAAATTTAAAGAGGGGTTTTTACACTTCTATGGGGTATTAACAGTGGCGGAGTTAGCAATTTGAGGGCCTCTAGGCGAACTTCAATTTAAGGCCCTATATAATGCACAGTTTTGTTGGTTTTTTTGTTGTTTGTTTTTTTGTATTAAAAATATATATATATATTGTCTGTTTTTTCCTATTCTTGAGACATGCAGATCTTCATTTTCTTCATTTTTGATCTTTTAATAATTCTGAACAGGTCATGCACACTTTTATCTCTACTCGTTTGAACTATCGCAAGGCGCTCTACACAGGAATCAACAAAAACGCACTTAATCGCTTGTAGTTAGTTCAGAACTCTGCTGTGCGTCTTTTAACAGGGAGCAAAAAACGCGACCGCATAACCCCAATTCTTGAGTCGTTGCACTGGCTTCCTGTTCATTTTATAATTGATTTTAAGATTTTATTATTTGTTTTTAAAGCTTTGAATGGACTAGTCCCACAATACATCTCGGACCTCATCCAAATTTACACCCCCGCACGCGATCTGAGGTCCGAGGGCCAGCTCCAGGTCATGGTGCCCAAAATGAGACTTAAAACCAGGGGGGACAAGGTCTTCTCTGTGGCCGGCCCCAAACTCTGGAACACTCTGAGATTTGAGAAGCACTTTTAAAACTGAATTCTTTCTATTCTGACTGTAATGATTCACACTAAGATTTTGTCAAGACATTTAAAAAGGAAAATTTACTAAATTAATTTCTACAACTCTTATATACTCTATAAATACTCACATATAAATATACTACGATTTTTTTAAAGAACAATTTATCTTAAAATTCATAAAAATTGCAAAAATCCAAGCTATATTTGGTACTTTGGTTTCATAAAGACTTGGACTTTGGACTTACGGGCCAGTGACTCGAGACTCGACTTGGACTTGCCTGTATTTGACTTGGGACTTGACTCAGACTTGAGGTCAAAGACTTGAGACTTACTTGCAAAACAAAGACTGGGTCCCACCCCTTTCGCCAAGAGTATTTTTTGGTATATTTTACTCAGTTATTTTGTTACAGTGCTTTTTTTTTGGCCATTATTTCTATTGAACCGTATCGAATTAATTTGAACTATATCGTATCAAATCAAAAGTGCATTGTATCGAGATATGTATCGTATCGTGGCCTATGTATTGAGGTATGTATCGTATCGGCAACTTCTGAATGATACCCAGCCCTAATATCCTATGTACATGATGTTTACTGTCCTTAACATGTTTAAAATGTGCACCATAAGTGATTTTTTCCCTCTTTTTTTCACCACAATTTAAATTCAAGTCAATATTTTCCCACAAAAGTTCGGTCCCAGTTTTATGAATAGTACACGCTGTTTAGATTGTGAGTCAGGTGAGTTGTTTTGAGCAGGTCAGATAGCAGCTGCAGTCGCTGGACCACACACTGCACTAACACACTGCAGGAGCTGTATAGGAGAGTGTTCCTGTATGTAAACACTGGGGCGGCTCTAATGGACTCATCCCAGGCAAAAACACTGGGACGGAAAACAGGCACTTACCAGACATGTCCTGACCCGAGACCACCACAGGGATTTTACAAAGACTACTGCACTAATCCATCTATGCATGTTACATTCTGTCAGCATAAATTAGGTTAAAACAATAGTTGAGATGCATTTTAGGTCATTCAGGGTTCCCACTATTTTTCACTGACAAAATTTCTACATGTGTAGAATTGATCAAACCTTTAGGCCTAAATATGAAATATTAATGCTTTCCACTCACCTTATGGTTTGGTATTATAGTTTTTTAACATTCAAAATACTGTCAGTGCATTTATTGTCGTCTCTTTTAAACAAAAGGCGCAAACATTTAGAAATAATCATAATAGCCTCATGAAAACTTAACAGAACGCTGTGGTCCCAAAATTTTGAATTTAAAATCTAAATTTCACAATATTTCTTGACTATTGGCACCATCACCAAACTACAATATATTTTTTGAATTCACTTTTACCATTATTACCATTCCTCTAGTGCAGACATGTCAAACTCAGGCCTGGAGCCCAAATTTGGCCCACGATATAATCATATTTGGCCCGCAAGATCTTATCAAATATGTATTAGAGCTGCCCCGCCGGCTACAGACAGACTATAGAGACATTTTTTTTGTTTGTTTATTATTTTATATTATGCTTGTTCTGGATTCAAGGTTTAAGCAAAACTATTATTAAACATTTATTTTAATAAGAAAAGGTTGAACATTACATATCTCGAAAGAAGAGAAAACATGCTGATGTTGCTGAAATTTTTCAATAAATATTTAGTTTGGCCCTCGACTTAGTCCCAGTTTTTAATTTTGGCATCCCTGCTGTAGTACAAGCCTATTTAACCTGTGGCCCTCAAAACTATCTAACCCAGTCAACAGACGGATTAAAATTAAAATATTTTCTCTTTTTTGCTGGTTTTGACCTTGTATTATTGTAGGTTAGAACTAGTTTAGTTCTGGTTGAATTCTGGGTTAGTCCTGGTTCAGACGCAGTTGGGATGAGTTCAGTACTGGATTGAGCAATGTTGTAAAGTCTTTTGCATTCTATTTTTCACCAGAATTCAATATAGCAGTTGTTGTTGTTATATTATTATTGAAACAGAGCTGGTGCTGTTTTGTGCGACTCGAAATTGTGCTAAAAGTGGTGTTGTGCTGTGCTCCTCCGGCACAGAGGCCATGGTCCGCTGGAAAATTTCAATGAATAGCCCTGCTCTAGTATGTGACCAGTCTCATAAAAACCTACTTTCCAAATGATAAAGTAAATTGAACGTGACATAAACAGCCAGATTAAAAAAAGGTCTAAGTTTTTGGAGTGTAGTTCGAATTGACAACTAAAAATATCACAGTTTCTTTTAGATATCACGATATAACCAAACATACAACTCCCTAAAAACCCGGCTCAATGTGTTAAGATAATTTAACACAACGTAACCATGCACTTCCTGCCCCATAAACACAAGTCCTAACGGGTTTTGTGGAGCAGCTGACCTCCAGAGTGACCTCCTGCTTGGCCATGGCCCGCTCCACCGTCTCGTACATCTGCGTGTTCTGAATCCCGAGGCCGCAGAAGATGGCGAAGGCTTCCAGGAACTGCTCGTCGTTTCTGTTGAAGGCCCTGACGCTCCCCGAGGCCTCGTCCATCTTGTTCACCAGCTGACACACACCTGCGTTAAGACACAGAGGCGTACACTTAAAGACACGCTCTGGAACTTTTCGAATAGAAGTACGCCGTCTGCTTGTTTCCGTGAAGACTGTATGTGTCACCTGGAAAGTTTGACAGTAATTTAATTGCACAAATACCTCCATTCTTACAGTGAGTGAAGTCCTTTCTGCATAGATCTGACCTGTAACTTAATGGCATACTGTGGAACATTCCAGGCAAAGCAATAACATCTCCATGGTGACAAGCGGGTGGCAGACCCAGCACCACAAAAGTTATATACTATGGCACAATTTTAAGCATGTTATACTGGAAGGAATGTAACAATATCGACAAAATTATGATATTAAAAGTTAACAGAGTGGTAAATCCAGAGTTCACTAAATAGTAGAGTTGTAGTCAAGAGCGCATTAATCGAGACCAAGACCAGTCCGAGACCACAGGGTCCCGAGACCAGGACAAGACCAAGATCTTTGAGGGTCGAGACTGAGACAAGGCCAAGACTTTTAAATGTCGAGACTAAGACAAGACTGAGACCACGGCCCATCAAGACCAAATCAAGACCATCTTTGTCATTTTTGACATTTATTTGTATTTTACACTTATTTTTGCCACATATATATCAGTGTTTTTATAGATCTATCCCCATTTGATCTGATTAATGTTAATTTAAGCATAAAATAAGCCAAGCAAACTGAACTTCTTCTTCAAGAGAACTTCAACTGGCACTTTACAGAAAACTGTGAAGAAAGTGAAGAAAGTGGGTAGTGTTTTTAAACCAGTTTTCTCAAGATTCTAACTGGGGTTATATTCTCTTACTGGTTTTGCAGTAGGATTTAGCCTCTGCACATTTACCAAACGCACGTCGTGACAAACACAGATGCATTTGTGAACTTTTATTAGGCAAACTTCAGCCACATGTCGCGGTAAGAGGTTTATTGCCGGCTGTAATGAAATATGATCGCGCTCGTCGAGTGTCAGACCTCGAGACCGAGTCAAGACCGAGCCCAAGTGCCTTCAAGTCCGAGACAAGACGGACTCCAAACGCGGTTGAGTCCGAGACGAGACCAAGACCGCAAAAAAACTCTCGGGTACTACGACACTACTACATAGACCATGATCCTTTGTGCTTTTTTATTGTAGTTCCAACAATGAAAAAATTTTACTGAAACTTGAAAAAACGTAAACTAATCTTCATTTATGAATACTCAGATAGTGTGCCCCAACATTTTAGAGAAATGAGTTTTGCATTTCTACAACAAAGCATAAACAATATTGCAATAAAATGTATGAAGAATCCTTTAGAAAGAAGAAAAACACTTTTGGATATAAAACAAAATAACGTGCCCCTAATCCTCTACTTTCCTCTCCTTTTACCACTGCAAACATACTGTTGCATTTAGAGTGATTCATGCATGTTTGAGTAATCTTTATTCGCCCCCAAAGACGTCATTGCTCTGATCAACCCCCATTTTCACCACCACTGCTCCACGCCCAATGCTCTGTAGTGAATTCCTCCTCAATTTCTATTTTCTTTATCAGTAAAGGAAAGAGAAATCTGCTGTTCACTGGTGGTGTGCAGCTGTCCAGGAAGCGCTGACAGCACGCAGCTCTTCGTTGTAATGATCTGGAAATTAACAGACTTGTTCTTTTTCTTTTGTTTTAGATCCAGGGTTCCTACTGTTTTTCACTGACAAAATTTCAAAGCTCTTCCATGACTTTTTCATGACCTAAAGTGAGTTTTTCATGACTTTACAGCACCATACATGTGTAGAATTGATTTGTTGAATTGTTAACCCTTTCCACTCATCTTATGGTTTGGTATTATAGTTTTTTAACATTCAAAATACTGTCAGTGCATTTACTGTCGTCTCTTTCAAACAAAAGTTGCATAAGTTTGGAAATAATCATGTCCTACAAAGGCAAAAGGCAGCAACATCATGTTTGGTCAGAAATTAGTTAATGTAATTTTGGGGGTACTTGAGATCTCCTGTGAATAAATATTGTGAAATATATTGAGCATGACTCCTTATTTTTGACAGAAGCAGAGCACAGTAACTGCCAAATAAGAGGCAAAGATCCATTTTGAGTTCAATATTTTTCACATACAAATATTTCTTCATTATAGCAAATAGTTGTAAAATTTCGGGAGCTGTACCTATTATACTTTTGTCTGGGCAAAAAACAAACTTTGAAGTAATTTTTCTCAGTTTCACTCTTTGGCGAGTTAAGGTCTTTTGTCTTTGTAGGGCAGAAAAATAAAAGCCTAATGAGAACTTAAGAGAACACGGTAGTTGCATGAAAGAGATACTATAATTACAAAACTTTCATTGAATTTATAAATTTCCATGACTTTTCCAGGATTTTCATGACCGTGGGAACCCTGTAGATCAATATTATGATTTAAATATAAAATAATGATAGACGGGTGTCATAGATTATAACTATGACCCCGTTTACACTGGAACGAATCAGCGTATCACCGTATCGGAAATTATTTCTGAGTCCTTACTTATCCAAACAGTTTTGAGCATTTGTGTTTACGTTTTACAGAAATGAAACTTCAAACTGCACTGAGAGCTCGAAAAAAACTGCTTGATATTGTGCGCTGATGCGGTTCAGCTTCTGTCGGACTAAAGGACACGACTCAGTGGAATATGAGTGTTCTTTGTGTGACGGAGGGATGTTCTGCTGATGGTGAGTCTGTTCTGTGTTTCTGTCGCGTTGGAGATGGTTCATGTTAAACTTTTCAGAGATTATACGTCTGCAGGTCGTATGCACAGACCGTATATATGAATGGACAGATATTCTAGCCTCTTAGCGTTTTGGTGGTGAATTACTTCGCGCCGCATAGACCTACATCAACGTATCAGCATTTTCAGGTGTCCACACAGTACCAATCAGATCCATCCTCAAATGAATTCATGGGAGCTGGCGGCATCAGATCATTCCGTCTCTGGAGCCGTTTTCAGTTGGATTAGTTTGAACAAACACTGCATCCACAACGAAAACGACTCGAAAACGTACCAGTGTGGACGGTGCTCACATAACAGACAAAAGCACAATACGTCTTCTTTGAGGGAAATCTTCCAAAGTGTCTTCCTAATGCAAATGTTATCACTAATCTGAGTTCACGAGGCTGTATTAAAACAAGACCAGGGTCATAACAAATTAAACAGATCATCACAAATGACTGAGTTTGAGTGGGAGGCAGTGAGGGCCGGGCTCCTTTGAAGGGAAATCTATGGCCATTAAGCTCCTCCAAGTGGCTGCTATCAGATCATTATGTAGATGGTAATCACAGAGATGGATGGAGTGCCGCGATCCTTCATAAACTCATAATAATAGCGCTTATGCTAGTTTCCTGGCTGTGCCGTGGGATATTTCATCATGCACCTCATATGAGATCATTTACAATAACTGTCAACACTGTGCAGGTTTTAGGAAGACAGGAATAAACATGGGCTTATTGGCTCTTAGTGCGGGACAGTTAACTCCTATAAAAGAAAAACATCTTCACTGAAAACACTGGAGTCACTGAATTTCTTGGTGAGTAAGAATGATTTTGATTAGGGCTGGGTATCATTAAGAAGTTGCCGATACGATAAATACCTTGATAAATAGGTCACGATACGATACAATCCATTTATCATTTGTTCATTTGTTTTTCAATATAAAACCAAAATCAGAAAGCAAAAAAAAACTATTACTTTCTTCATTATTTGTCTCCAAAACCAAACTGAAAAAAAAAAAAAAAAAACAGATAACGATTCGGTTTTTCAGTTTTTGATTTTGTGTTTAAATGAATAATGGGAAAAAACGGATAGCGGCTGATTGATTCCTGTTGACGTGATTTAAACTGTGATACCGGACTGAACCAGGACTAAAACAGGACTAAACCAGCACTAAACCAGCACTAAACCGTTTTCAGTCCTGGTCTGGTCCCAGTCTCAGTCCTGGTCTCAGTCTTGGTCCTGCTCTCTGGCCTCAGTCCTGGTCTCAGTTCTGGTCTGATCCCAGTCTCAGTCCCGGTCTCAATCCTGGTCCTTGTCCCGGACTCAGTCTTGGTCTGGTCCTGCTCTGAGTCCTGGTCTCAGTCCCGGTCTGGTTCCAGTCTGGTCCCGGACCTGGTTTAGTCCTGGTTCAGTCTTTTTCTGTTTTTTTCCATTATTCGTTTAAACACAAAATCAAAAACTGAAAAACCAAATAATTATCTGTTTTTTTCATTTTGGTTTTGGAGACAAATAATGAAGAAAACAGTTGTTTTTTCATTTTCTTATTTTTGGTTTTACATTGAAAAACGAATGAACGAACGACACACATCTGGCTACAGCGCAATTTCGATGTGATACGATATATTTCAAATTGATTTCAATAAAAAATAAAGGCTAAATCATGGCTGTGATACTAAAAGTCTTTGTTAAACCACTTCTTGTGCAAAGTTCATATGAAACACAAACATTTTAATCATCAAAACAGTCAAAATGTTAAATGTGTTGCATAAATGACTTCTCTTTTTCTAAACAAGCAAAACTGTAGCGCTGTAACATAATAATTGAATAAAATATACCAAAAAATAATATATTGATACAGCAGCCCATGATATCGATACTGTATCATCACATTAAATGATACGATATATTGATATTTGGATAGTTTTGCACAACTCTAATTTTGATATTCGGATTTCTGCGTAGTTGTGGGTTAACCCCGTAGCATGAGGTGAAAGCATTATGAAACATTATGGTTTGGTTGGAGCCATAGATTTTATCAAGAAGAGGAATAAGTGAGTGTGATGCCTCCAGCCAAATGAAGCTTGTGAAGTTAACGGTTACAGGAGCGAATTTGGAGCCAGGCTTAAGAATAAGATTTTTTAATGGACAAAATAGAGAAATGAAAACACCAAGGTCATGTAGTACGCGTTATTACGAACTTTTTAAAACCAAATTGACAAGACTTGTACTATAGCAGGGATGCAATTTTGATAGAGGCATACATTTAAAGACACACGCCTAACGATATCAAAATTGCTGGATACGATCCTTTCACGATATAGATCTCATGGTTCGATATTTATTACGATTATTTACTAATAAAACTGTAAATCTGCTATACTTGTTCCTTTTAAAAGCCTTGAAACTCTTTAGGTATTGTAATAACATAAAAAATATGACTTAAAAGTGCTTAATAACAGCTATTTCTTCATGTAGTCTACACTAACAACACCAAAAGATCATGGTCTATGTAGTTCGCTCTGTTTTGTTTGTTGGTTTTTTTTCATGGCAAGGCAAGGGAAGTGTATTTGTATAACACAATTCATACACAAAGTAATTCAAAGTGCTTTACAAAATAAGAAAGACATTAAAAAAAGACAAAAGAAGGAAATTAAAATCACCATAACTATTAACTTTAAGCAAAAAGACTTGTAATTCAGTGGCCTCTGATTTTATTGTGAGACTTTTGACAATAGCAGATACAGAGAGAGGAGCCACAATATTCCAATGCAAGTAAATGGGCGCCAGAGTCAAAAGCAGCTGGAAGTGCTCGGATACAAACTTCCTATTTGGAACACGACGGCTAGAGCTTTAGCCATGTCCATTTATTTATACAGTCTGTGGTTGGACAGGGAGCACATCTCAACTTCAATCACCAGCTACAAGAAACTGCTAAATCTAAATCACTATCTATCCAGTCAAACAGAGTCTAAGAAAAATAAAAAATAAAATAAACTTTCTTTTTTCTGTAACTACCAACACTTTGTAACCTGGCTAATGTTGCACATCACCACATTTATTTGAAATGGCTCTTGCTGAAAGCGAAAAGCAGAAGGCAGAACATCATTTGAAGTTGATAGTTTGAAGAGTCACAACAGTGGAACAAGCTGAGAAATAACATTTGGCTCCACTCAAACCACAAGTCTGGTGTGCTATTTATTTATACATGCATTTCTGCAAACAATCGTTTAAGATCTACAGATAAATTACCTATAACTTTGTCTTTTTTGCCGTTCCAGATGGGCGTGCAGAGCAGACTCTTGATGTTACTGTGGTCTGGGTTTTCACTCTGCTGGCAGAATAGAGAGAATGAATAGCTTTAGGAAAGAAAAGCACAGACGGAGTATACACACAGAGACTGTACTAACAGTCCAGGGGAAGCGCTGGTCCTTGGTCACGTCGCTGATGTTGAGTGGCTGTGCGGTGTTCTTGCAGCACTGGGCGTACATGTAGTTTATCTGGTTCACGTCACAGTCCCTATGGAGACACAACAGTACACAGCATTAGGACTGAGTATGAAAATCACAAAGAGGAAATACGTTTCATTTAGATTCTTGAGCACACATTAGATAAGTGTGTAGCAGAGTGTACGTGGCACAAGAGCAGCTGAGTAATACACAATGGGCCTCATTCATGAAACGTTCTGACAACAAATTTGTACCTAAGGCCTTTCTAAGAACATTTTTAAAGATGATGAACATTACCCAGGAGTAGTCGATATTTGTTTTGTCAATAATTCATGTACAGTATATTTTGTACATTTTGATTATTTGCCTATTTTTATGTTTTAAAAAAAATCATTATACCTAATTAGCCATAATAAAGTATAAAGAAAGACATAATGACTACGGATGTAACAATAACAAAATATTGTGATACCATATCGTCATAAGTCTCTCAATAATATCGTGGGCTGTCACAATATATCCAATTACAAGTTCCTTTGCTTAAATGCATGGTTTTCTAATAGCAATAGCTAATAAACATCAGGAACTACATATCCCATGAGTCATTTCAGTCCAGACAACATGAAGAAATATGTTTTCTACTTGAATTCTTGGGATTATGATGGAAATAATTCACACCAAAATCTTGTCAAGGTATTTTAAAAGCAGAAATGTGTCCTCTTCAAAATATTGCAATAAATATCGTATCGTGAGATGCATATCGTGATAATATCACACTGACAGATTTGGATTTTGTTATATCTTTAATAATGGCTAAAAAGGAAATAGTTAATTAAGGCCCTATTCACACTAGTACTAGTATTCGAGTCGTTTTTGTTGCAGATGCAGTGTTCGTCCACACTAATCTGATGGAAAACGGCTCCAGAGACGAAACAATCTGGTGCCACCAGCTCCCATGAATTCATCTGAGTACAGATCTGATCCAGCACTGCGTGGATGCCTGAAAACGCTGATACGCTGATGTAGGAGCTCCAGTTGACGTCCTTACTGGACCGCATCATTGTGACTTGCACCTTCCTGATTCGCTGGGTTTATGACATTGGTCATGTGACGCTATTGCAGAAAACAGTTTAAACAGACGGGAAACAGCGGAGCTAGAACTACTTGCTAGTACACAAAAAGACTGTTTTCACGCTTGCCATCTTCAGACACGGTTAACAGAACACCCCTCTGTCACAGAAAGAACACTCATATTCCACTGAGTCGTGTCTGACAGAAGCTGAACCTTGTCAGGGCACAAGAAGCAAGCTGTTTTTTGAGTGCTCAGTTTATGCAAATAAGCCATGTGGTTTTAAGTTTCATTTCTGTAAAACGTAAACAAACATGCACAAAGCTGTGTAAAATTGGGAAGGATTGTGGACACAGAAACGACGTGTCTGTACAGAGACAGTTTGATACGTTTCAGTGTAAATGTAACCTAAGAATGATTCAGGCTTACCTATTCACTAACTCCTAACCTTAACCAATTAATAGAACTTATTAAGCTTGAATTATTCTTAATCAACCATTAATTAGCCATTTTTTCATTGTGAATTAAGTCTTTCTTCATGCTTTATTAAGCCTAATAAGTGTTACCAAAAAACATCCTTTTAATCATAATCGCTGTTAAAAACTGTATTCTTTTAACTGTATGTTTTAATAATATTTAACTTGTTTATGTTGTTGTAAGGTGCCTATTAAAAATAAAATGTATTATTGTTATTATTATTACTATTAAAATTTCTAATTCTGACTTAAGAATTGGATGCCTTGGGTCTGGGATCGTGTGAATACGTCTTTATGAATATTGCTTCGCTCATGCTTTGATAGTTTCTGGTGCAGATGAACATTCTCAGACTAGACTAGAAGTTTGGTTCGCGTGCGCTAAGAAGCAATTGAGGGAAGACATTGTTTTATTTTCAAAAGGAAGGGTGCAGCCATTACTTTAACATCCGCAACCGCATTTATTTCCACACTGAGGCAAAAACAATCCAGCAGTTCTTTCAGGCGCCCTTGAACAATGACTAGAAAATCGCATCTAAGTTGTCACTCGAAAGAACCCGTCGGCGCGTCACGCTCAATGTTCCATCTCTACTGTGCCAGAAGCGAAAGGCATCACTTCCACCCAAACAGACAGCTCGCGTCACGGCTAACGTCGCTTGTTAGTGGAACAACTGTCTCCTGTAGCCGCACCTGAGCCCCCCTCCGCCCCCGACCAGCCAAGTCCAACCACAACGTCAGCTCGAGTAGTGCATGACAAATGCTGGAAAATGGATACACAAATATAACGTGGGGTGAAAGGGAAAGCTAGAGGGTTTAGGAGCATTTAAGGGGAGATACTACAGGAAAACGCTTTCAGAAATCCTCCTATCTACACATAAAGTTATCTTTTTTATTAGAGATCCAGTTTTTTCTGTTCTAATATGTCAATACTTGGGCTTTAAGTGTCTCCCAATGCCTGATATCAACCAATACAAGGGCAAAGAATATAATTTATTTCCTTTAAACACAAACAGCATAAGGTAAAAATTTAAATTATAATGTTTTGTAACTACAGAACAGCTTTGTAAAAACCTGAGTTGAATATTATGAGATGTTTGGGACCAGCATTATGTAGTGAATCATCTTATTACGCCAATTGATAGACCAAACTGGAATATCGGCTGAACGGATCTTGATCCACCAAAATGTTCAATATCAGCGCCGATATCTGATACCAGTACTGTATCTGTGCATCCCTAATTATTATTTCTGACAATTTTCCTCAAAATGCATAGGGCCTCATTCATGAATCTTTTAAAAGTAGCTCAGAGAAGTCTGCGTCAGATTCACAAACCGTTCTTAAGATCGCAAATTCCTTCTGAAGTGACTAATTCCCCAACGTCCAGCTACGAACACTTCCACACTCATAGAAAGTTAATACGTATCTGGTTAGAAACGCCTTCTGAACTTCCAAATATGGCCAATACGGGGTTGGTATTATGACACGAGGGAGTGAGGGAACGAGGAAGTCAGGTGAAGCGTTTACAGACGGCTTTAAGTCATAAACATCGGGCTTTCCCTGAGCGCAGACCCGCTGTAAATAGTGAGGGAGAGGGGCTGGGGTGGGGGTGCGTAAGAGGGCGCTCAGGTGGTCAGGGAGGTGATGGGGGTGTTGAGTCCAGCGCGGTGATCAGGCTCAGGGCTGTAGCAGAGACACATATGGAGGCACTGGGGCTGGGACAGATTGAGGCTCACTGTGGCCTGTATTAAGTCTGTTAGACCCAATAAACCACATGTTCCATAAAACTCCTCATAAATGTTATTGGTTCACATCGTAATATGTTTTGGGGAAATAATTTAAGAAAATATAACTTACAATCAAGGAGGAATTTCAATTTTTAGGTGCATTATCAGAGAATTTTTGCTCTCTTGACTGTTCGTAAAATTTGTTCTTACAGAAGAATTAGTTTAATTAAGAAAAAGTTTTGTGAATGCCAAAAATGTTGTTACGAAGGTCTTAAGTACAAATTTGTAAGAATGTTTCATGAATGAGGCCCAATATTTAATTCATATATTTTTTCAGTAATATCTTTTTTACTCAAGTACAATTGAAGCATGAAAAATATATGCAATTTGGTCCCTTTTTTTTTTTAACAAGATTTTACAATGGGGGAAAAAATCTGAATAAAAATAAATTGAAATCAGTAAAATACAGAGGTTTTATTATTGATAGCTCTTGATTTATACATAAAGAAAAAGTGAGTGATTACACATATTAGAGACATATTTTGTTATTCCATGAGCGTGTTTGCCTTGGTTTGGAAACAGCTTTCTGTGCACAAACTTTGGACAAATTGAGCGTAATTATAACAATCTGTTGGCCTCCCCTGATCCCTCCGCTGCTGTTTCTTTCCCTTCGTGATTGACTTCAATGAGGCAGCAGGAAAAGCTCGCCTAAATCCTTGACGGTGCTAAAGTGCGGGGGCCACAATCAGGAACTAAATCCGGAGCGACGTGTTGTGACATTGTGGACTTCCTGGTTTGAAAAGTGCAGTTTTTAATGTCACTATGAAAAGCCTCCTGTGGTTTGGGGTTAGTCAAAGCTCACGGCGGCGGTGCGCTGGACGTTTCATTGGCTCAGTCGGAGCTGCCCACTTTTTTTGCCATATCACAAAGAATCATGACTGGACAGTGGTATTTAAGGATACTTATTAGACCGAACTGAGGAAAGTTGGCCTGGAACATTGTTATATAATTGTTTCTTTAAATGTTTTATGGTTTAGTTCATGAAATTATCAAATGGAGTCAACAAAGACCATTTAAATTCAAGGAAAATCTGTTGCAATTATATGTAAAATAAAATAATAAGGATGATTATTAACATTTAACCACAATAGCTTGACTAATCAGCTTATATTCATTCAATTTTTTTTTTATCTGTTATTAAACTGCATCAAATATATAGAGAAAAAAAGAGGTATTATTATAAGAGAAAAAGGTGTATTATTTATACATCCAGGCTCAAACATGATCTGATTTGCTTTTGATTTTCTGTGAAATCAAGGAGCTCATTGGTCACCCATCATTAAAAAAAAAATCTAATTTGTCTCCACTCAGATCAACAGAGTTTAGTGTTTCGATCATTGATTCTGCAGAAATCCTTTCCATTCTTTTTTCCTTGTAAGGAATACGGCTGGACATTTTTAGATTTTTTTTGATACATACACTACCGGTCAAAAGTTTTAGAACACCACACTTTTTCCAGTTTTTTACTGTTTACTGTTGACCAAAACATATTCTAAACTTTTGATTCACCTCTGGCAGATACAACATCTGAACACACTCTTGGCTCGTTCTTTTAACAACAGAAATCAAATATTCTTCAGAAAATTCTTCCCAAGTCTGTTGTAGAAGTTCCCATAAATGTGTGGCACTTGTAGGTTTCTTGAATTTCACTCTTTTGTCCAGTTCATCCCAAACCAGCTCGATGGGGTTTGAGTCTGGAGACTGTGCTGGACACTTCATGTTTTCAAGCTTTACCATCTTGTT